TCTCCATGAAGGGCCGCGCGGGGCCGCCAGGCGAAGCCGCCGCTCCGCTATCCGCTCCGCTCCGCTCCCCCCGCCCCGCCTGCAGCCGCCGCGTCAGCTGGGCCCGGCCGCGCCTTTAAAGGGGCCGCGCGCACGCACATGCACACCTTGCACACCCGGGGCCCTGCCACAGACCTGCACGCATGCCGCGCGTGCATCTGCCGGCTGCACACACACACGCCGCCACACGGACACGCACATCTGCTAGGCACCTACACCCACAGTGCAGTGCCGCGCGCACACGCATGTATCTGTCATGTGCACACGCACATGCACACATCTGCTATGTACACATTCCAGTGGCACACACACATGTGCATGCATCTGCCACACACGCACACATCTATGCGTATATACCCACAGTGCCACACACACGCACACGCACACATCTGCTTATGTACATATACCCAGCACCACACCCGCATACATGCATCTGCCATGCACACGCACATGCACACATCTATGCATGCATACCCACAGTGCCACACACACACGCATGCATCTCCAATACATGCACACACTTCCAGTGACACATGCATCTGCACACACACACTGCCCGACACATACACATGCACCTGCCAGGCACACAAACACTTTACTGCCTCTGCCATGCTGATGCACACACCCACTGCCACACACATACATGCATCTCACAAACACTGCTTCTCTCTTCCTCACCTGCAAGCACGCCTCTGACGCAGCTCTCCCTGACCTCACTCCCTGCACACACTCACACTTGACCCATACACCCCTGGTTTTTGCACAGTTATGCCAGGCTAGGGACTTGCGTGCCCCTGCCCATACAGCTGCTGCACGCTTCCATCTCACTCGCGTGCACGTACACATCTAAAAGCAGAGCTGACAGCTCACAACCCTGCGTCCGATCCCAGGTGCCGTTCAGGGGGACTCTGAGATCACGGCCAGCTGTGCTCTGCACGCACGTGCCCCTGCCACGCGCACACTGCCAAGGGGGAAACCGAGGCACAGGGCAGTGACACAAGTTTGGTCACAAGCCTCACGCTCTTGCACGGGATTCTTTTCCCTTTAGAGAGGTCACAAATGCATATGCCAGCAGCAGGCCTCCGGCTTCGCTTTCCCGAACGAGGGAGCTGCTCGTCCTCCTGATTGCAGAGCACGGCTTGAAAATCTCTTCCAACGGCTCGGTTTCCAGGAGGCAAATCAGAAGGACACCCTCCTTCCCCAGCATCATTTTAAAATCTTATGATTTTTAAGCTAATCTTGCAATTTCTTTGGCAGACCTGACACTCCCCACTTGACTCCATTCATGGCAAAACGTTTCCTGGCCCATGGGACAGTGTCCTATCCCAGACACAGCCTCGGTGCTTTTTTTCTTGCTTGGGAACAGGGCAGCCTGCTCCATCATCCCGGACTGCATCCCCCATGTACAGAGAGTCTCCTGGAAAATGCAAGACCTGTCTCCTAGGAGGTCTCCAAACCAGGTGGCATGGCTTGTAGCCACCCCAGCACATAGTTTCATAGTTTCAGGGTCGGAAGGGACCTAATAGATCTTCTAGCCCGCCCCCCCGCCAGGGCGGGAGAACAACCCAAAAACACAAACAAAACCACTCACCCTAAAAACAAAAACGGGACTCAAATGAGTCCAGCCAGGTAAGTATCCAGCCTCTTCTTAAAGATCCCCAGGGTAGGGGCCAGCACCACCTCCCTTGGAAGTTGGTTCCAGCTCCTAGCCGCCCTGACTGTGAAGTAGTTTTTTCGGATGTCCAATCTGTACCTCCTCTCCATCAACTTGTGCCCATTATTCCTTGTTATGCCAGCAGGGGCTAGGGGAAACAGCGTCTCCCCCAAACCCTTCTGGTTCCCCCTAGTGAGTTTATAGACGGTCACCAGGTCCCCCCTCAGCCTTCTCTTGTGGAGGCTGAATAGGTTCAAGTCCCGCAGTCTCTCACTGTAGGGTCTGCCCTGCTGTCCCCGGATCATGCGGGTGGCCCTCCTCTGGACCCTCTCCATGTTGTCCACATCCCTCCTGAAATGGGGCGCACAGAACTGGACACAATACTCCAGCTGCGGCCTGACCAGCGTCGCATAGAGGGGGAGGATCACCTCCCTGGCTCTACTCGAGATGCACCTGTGGATGCACGACAAGGTCCGGTTAGCCCTGCCAACCATGACCTCGCATTGTCGGCCCATGTTCATCTTGGAGTCAATAATGACACCAAGATCCCTTTCCGCCTCCGTGCTCTCAAGTAGGGAGCTCCCCATCTTATAAGTGTGCTGCTGGTTCCTACTACCCAAGAGGATAGGAGGATCCAAGAAAAGAAGGGACCTCACAAGGTCATCTAGCTCAGCCCGGATCAAAGCAGGATCATCGCTGACTAAACCATCCCAGCCAAGTGTCTGTCCGACCTGCTCTTGGAAACATCCAGGGGTGGAGATGCCACCACTTCTCCGGGCAGCCTGTTGCAGTGCCTGAGCACCTTCCTAGTCAGAAAGTCCCTCCTCATCTCCAGCCTCAGTTTCCCCCGCTGCAACTTGATGCCGTCGCTCTTAGCCCTGTCCCCTACAGCCATGGAGAGAAGCCCATCTCCATCCTTTCTGTGATCTCCCATCAAACGATCGAATCTGCCCTCCGTCTTCTTTTCTCCAGACTAAATGACCCTTGTTCTTTCAGCCTTTCCACCTAAGTCTTGCTTTCCAGGCCCCGATCACTTGCTCTGCAGTGGATTCGTTCCAGGATCTTTCCAGAACCAAGCAGAAGGACGTCTATTCAGACCCTATTCTGAGCAGGCAGCAAGCTGCGCTAGGTTTTCAGAGCACATTTCCTAGCTGAGAAATAAAGCAGATGGCTGGACCATCCTGCCCCCGTGGCACCTCCTGTGACAGCGTAGCTGTGGCTCCCGGGTCATGATTCCCCACTGCCTTGTGCCCTGTGTTGTTCTTCCCACCGGTGCCCCAGAGCATGGGCGATCGAACAAGGTACAGTGAGGAAAAGCAAGTGGGGCTTTTCCATGCATCAGCAGCCCATGTGCATGCTCTTGTCCTGGGGTAAGTGAAACCGGGGTAAGTTACCTTCATTTAGCTTCTACACATCCCAGGGGAAGATCATGCACACAGGTAGTTACTGCAAAGCAGCTGTGACTCCACGGTACCTATACCCTGCAAGGCTACTTGCAGAGTACCGCTAGCGTTTTGTGTCCGAAAAAGGTGCTAAAAAAGCCTCCCAGCATCCTCACCAAATGACACCACTTAACATGTTGCCTACCCCGGACACAACTTCCTCCATTCCCTCTGCCTGATGGTTGTGCCACGGTTGCAGGTCACCCCAGAGGCAGCCTCATTGCAGCTGTGGTTGAAACAATCTTTCTTTTATTATTACCGGTATTACCATTGCCGGCATCTTCAGACTCGTGCTGAGATCAGGGCCCCGTTCAGACTCATGCTGTGACTACACATGGCATCTACAGGGTCTCTGCCCTGATGTGCTTACAGTCCAAGCAAAGTGAGGCAAAGTGAGTTGCCCAAGGTCATATGGGAGGTTAG